GTGTTGTTATATGTTTGTGTGTGTTATATGTTTGTGTGTCATGTCAAAGCACACCACGCTGACCTTAACAAACTCTGGACCAATACTAACGTGGGGAATCGGCCTGTGATATGAGTGTGATGTGACTGTGATATGAGTGTGATGTGAGTGTGGAGTGAAATGAGGAATGCTGAACGGAATCATGGAATAACAAATGTGTCTGTAATGTTTTAATGTGATCATGGAATAATTATTTTTTTTGTCAACAGCATACGGTGTAAGTACTAGAGATTCAAAGATAACAAGCTTTATTGAACAGGTGTAAAAGTGAGAGTACTCTGGGATGAGTACTCGGAGAAAAGTACTCTGCGGAAAGTACTCTGAGATGAAATACCTCGCTGAAGATATTGGGAGTTCCTCCCTCTGCTGTTTGTCCTGACAGTGATTCGGTCCAACCGCAGTGAGCTGTCGTCGGTTGAAGGACAACTTTGGTTTGTAAACTCACATTTAGGGGAGTATAAAATTAGAAACATACATTTTGTTGTTCTGTATTTGGCTACAGCCTCCGCCCTGATGCCACACACCGTCTGTCAATGCAGTTATGTTTTGCCCAATTGGAAAAAAGATTGACAAGCGAAAGTGGGCATTTTTTGTGTTTTTTTTTTGTGTTCTGATATTTCTTTTTCAGATGAGAGATAAACTACTCCTGCTCCAGGGATGACAGGAGTATGGATCAGGAGGAAATGAGCCTCCACTTTGGCACAAAAGCCCACAATATGAATTGAGGACGATCCGGGAGAAAGCAACTGGAGATGAACGGAACAGCAAATCTACACACACACACTAGGTCCCCCTGACCCAACCTGGCCATTCACTCAGACTGTGGATGAGCGGTGTGGGTGCATGGTGTCGGTACTTTTGCAGTCTCACGGAGGGCCACTGAGACCCACTGCTTTCTTCTCAGCAAAACTCGATCCCGTGGCAGCAGGGTTGCCTCGCTGCCTGCGGGCTGTGGCTGCCGCTGAGAAAGCGGCCCTAGCATCACGTGACCTTGTGGGATACACTGAACTAACTTTGCTTGTGCCCCATGCTGTTTCCCTGATCCTGTTAGAGCAGAGGGCCTCTCGCCTTTCTGCGGCTCGTTGGCTGGGGTACAACACGGTGCTCTTTGAACTACGGTGAAGGGATGCACACAGCTGAACCCCTCCTCGCTGCTGCCCACGCCAGAGGAAGGGGAGGCACACTGCTGTATCGCCACAATGGAACAGATATGCACTCCCAGGCCAGACCTGAAAGAGGTGCCTCTGACTAATCCTGACTTTTTCTATACAGACGGAGCCGCGTCACGTGACAACACTGGGAAGAACCGAGTCGGCTATGCTGTGTGTTCTGATTTTGATACTATAGACTCTGGTAGTTTGCCCCACTACCATTCAGCACAAAACCGCTGAACTGGTCGCGCCCACCGGGGCTTGTGAGCTGGCAGCGGGCAAAACTTGTAACATATTCTGTGATACGCGTTATGGTTTCTCTGTGGTGCACGACTGGGGGGCACTGTGGAAACACCGCAATTTTATGAAATCTGATGGTAAACCAATTCTTAATTCCACACAGGTTGAACGTCTGCTGAAAGCTGTAATGTTGCCCTTAGAGATCGCTGTATGCAAATGCCAGGCCCACACTAATGCCACTGATCCCATCTCTGCAGGGAATCGGCGCGCGGACAAAGCAGCGAAGGCAGCGGCATACGCACCTCTACACACACACACACACTACCTCACTCAAGACGTTGATATTTTCTACTCCAGCAGAGACGCTGCTGTGGGAGGGGAATGGGGCTCAACGTCGGCATGGTGTGTGTGGCTGGGACCAGACAGCAAACCGTGCCTACCACGGCATTTCTTCAGACAGTTTGCAATTTTAGCACATGGTCGAGACCATGCCTCAAAAGGAGGGATGATGTGTGATTTAATCACACAAAATTGGTATACAAAGGGGTTTACGGCATTTGCACAGAGATTCAGCCAAACATGCGCTATATGCCTCGCGCACAACCCAGGTAAGTCCCAAAAGTATCCAACAGGCTGCTCATCCTCCGCCCCTGCGCCCATTTCAACATGTCCAAAGGGACTTTGTTGAACTCACACCATGCCAAGGTAAGTAATACTGTCTGGGTCTGGCGGATCTCTGGTCCAAATGTGCCACGATGGGGTGTCCCGAGGGAAAATCTCTAGGGACAATGGCAGTCACTTTGTAGCAAAAGTCATTGAGGAAGTGGGTGAATTTCTGGGCATTGATATACGTAAACACTGCAGTTACGCCCCCTGGTCCGGAGGCACGTGCGAGCGAGAGAATGGCACTCAAAGCTCTGCCGCTAGCCCCACGTTGGGCGCGGGACCCCCGAACAGAGATCTGCCAAGCACCTCTTTGTGTGATGACGACATGCTGTCCTATTGTAAGGAAATTAATGCACTTTTGTCCTCTATTTCTGCCCAGGTCAGGAGCGCCCTGCCACAGGCTGCGCAGGCGACTGGGCCCTGGTGAAGGAAACGAGACGAAAGCACTGGCGGTCCAAGCGCTGGCTCGGCCCATTCCTCGCCCTCCTGGTGACGGACACTGCCGTTAAGGTCGCGGAGAGGACAACTTGGATCCACGCCAACCACTGTCGTGCGGTGCTGCCACTGAGGGCCATAGACGAGGACACCGAGGGCGCGGACGGACCAGGCCCATCCGCGGCTCCCTACGCTGAAGAAGTCGGCCGACGTGCGACCACCGTCGGTGAAGCAGGCCAACAACAACACCCAGAGAATCCCAGCGTTCCCGAGGCGACCCCCCTTTTTGCCCAACTCCCCAGCCCCCGGATCCCAAGGCTTGGGAGCCATGAAGGCCCTGAGCGCTCTGCTCAGCTGCAGCAAGTACGCAGAGCTGCTGCCCATTCCAAAGATTTCTCCAGAGCTTGCTCCCTCTGGCCATAATGCAGATTTGAGCTCTGCTGGAGTGCCCCCTGGTGTCTCGTCTCCCGTGTGTCCGGAGGAGGTGGAGATGAGGGCTGCTCTACAGTTCCTGATGAGGCACATGGTGAAGCGTGCTGTCATGAGGTCTCCCATCAAACGAGCTTTGGGCCTGGCCGATCTGGAGCGTGCTCAAGCCATGGTCTCCACACCCCAAACCCCGAGCACTCTGCCCAACCGAGTGCTGAGGCCAAGGCTTCAACGCAATTAGAGTCTTGCCGCTCCAAGACCAAACATCGCCATGACCACTAACGCTCCACACACGCTCATAGGGAGCGGTGCCACTGACTGCGAGACGGCACTGCTCGTGAGTATTCCCGCGGAAAAGACTACCGAACGTAGCCCGGCTAAGACCGGCATGGGCCCTTGGACTGTTATGCTGGCCACACTGACACTACTTTCCGTGATGACCGTGTTTATTATGTTAATATTGTCTTCTCTTATCGCTGTCCGGATCCATTGTGTTATTATAAGGTGCTCTTTCTTTTATTGACAGGCATGTTTCTTTTCTTGTCCACTATGGACAGCAATAATTTAAGTGTTTCAAGCTTGAAGGTGATGTGATTACGATGCCTCTGGTATTTAACTGATTAATGCAAAAATGGTTTTGAATTATCAAAAGAGGGGAGTGTGGTGACAGTCTTTAGAGTAATCACATTAAAACCAGCCGCAGCAAATACACGGACGTAAAAGGTCTTTTTAATGCAGAGACTACCTTCTGACGCCATGCTGAGCTTTGTGAAGGTCCCTGCTCTTTGTCACACCCTTGTGTCTTTCGTATCTTGAATCTGTATGCCTGCTTCTATCCATATGTCCTTGCTCCAGGAAGGAGCCGGGCCCCCCCGACACCTACAGACAATGGCGATCACTCTTGCCCCCTTTCACCTCCTGCATATGTATCGGTCTGTATGTGTGCACTTTCTACTTCCTGCAGTCTGTTCGCATCTCCATGCCCTGTGTCTGATTGCCTCACCACAGGGGCATGGCGCCTGCGCTTTTCCTATGCGCCTCCTTCACCGGTGGCCCCCTCCGATCGGTTGTGGGCGTGACTGTCTCTCATGTGTGTCTATGTATACAGGAAGCTCGGGGCTCTGGCCCCCAGAGCTGCTACATGCTGCCTTCTGTGCGTGTGTGCCGACTCTCCGCACGTGCGTTAACAATAAACTTACGCTCCTGAATTAAGACAAATACTTTTGGGCTTTCTCCTTGCTTTGGGGTATATAATTCTATAACAGCCCCTAATCTTGACAGAGGATTCATCACAATGCGGAGGTTCAACATGGTCGAACGTCATTTAAAACAACACACAACAATTGATGCAGTTATAAAATATCCTGTTACCACTGGATAAGACGGCTCCATAATGCTTCTCACAGGTTGCATCCATTTTGCATTTGTACTGGGATGACTGAAAAATATCAATCAGTGTTATGTCTGAGGCTTGAACACGTTAATCACAGATACCTTAGTGGAGGCAGTAAAACATTTCTCACATCTGGACATCTTCCTTGAAACTGATTTTCCGTCACATAAAGTCTGGTCATTATACAGAACACATTTGTGCCCTGAGAAAAGGACAAAGGAAACACAGTAATGTACACAAAAGGACAAAAAACCCCAATGAGAAGCATAAATAAAAGATGCAACCTCAGCAATGTTGACGACTGCATGATTTATAGAAGCTTTTACATGGGCCACAAACCCCCATGGACCATTTTAATACCTGTATGTCTATGATACTGGTTTATTTATAATGTTTATTTTTGGCATTCCAGATTAATATCCAGCCACTATAATACCAATCCATTCAAGATTAGGAGATTCGTCCCACAGTGAGGAAATTTCAGTGTTGCATTGCCTTTTTATAGAACAGTAGGAATGAGGCGCACACAACATAATATAAATAAATTCTGATGGATTATAACAATAAGCCACAGAAGTGCATAAATATCACTATTTACACCTTTAACAAAAACAAGAAAGTGCAAGTGTATGTAAGAAACACATTACCTCTTGTGGAAACACATAATCCGCCACGTCCATAATGCGACCGTAATGTCTCCCAAACCCTTTGACTTTGGTCATAACCGACGACTCGATGCCTGTGTCTGTCGTCTGGTAAGCTTTCTCATGTAGGAAGACGTAGCTGAAAGAACACATGCAAAAGTCAGCAGAACCAATCAGAGAAATACCTGTTATTTAAATCATTAAAGCTGGTGTACCCAAATTTTGTTTGGCTTCATGAATACATTTTGTGTTTGAGACCACCACATGCTGTCTGTATCATAAAAAAAAAAAAAACACCTTTTAAATACTGACGGCTGATTGGCTGAGTGAGGGTGGTACTGTCTTTTAAGCTGATCTAAAGATGTGACAGAGACCAAAACTCATGCATGTGAAAACTAGCGATGTAAAGTGTTTTTGAGAGCAAGGAACGAGTTACATGGATTTGAGTTATTATTCTGTTGTTACAGACACAAATAGTTCCAAGTTACAAACACATAACAGCTAAAATGCAAAATACTTAAGTGAAGTAAGAGTACATCTGTGTAAACATATATTTGTCTTTTAACTGAATCCCACTATTTTTGTTTTTTGTTGATGAAGTAAATTGTATATGCTAAAGAATATGATAGATATGATCCTAGAACTATGCATACACAAGAAATTACAAACCAGACAAAATAGGCGATGATGAGCACTTGGACAATCCGGTTGACAATTCCCACAGACAGACGCTTGACCACTACAGACTTGGTGGTCTCATAGGTGAAGAAGTCTGTGACGCAGCCCCACAGGAAAGAGGCCATGGTGCAACAGGAGCAGAGAGTGATGAAGACGAGCAGCTCTGTGAGAAGAGCCTCTTCATCAGAGTGCAGTGGACAACACAGTGGACCTCCCCTTCACACAACATGAGTGCATTCAGTGTGACCACGTCATCTCTGCTGACCTCAAGTCCCAGAGAAACATGAACTATCTCCCACTCTTTTGTGGTCATTTTAAACGCAACACACAATATTTGTATTTACGTCAATTAATGAAGCGGTTTAAGATGGGGTAAATATTTATTGAAAACTAAAATAGCAGACTTTGACAATTGAATGAATTGAAACTTGAGAAAGCCTGCTATCGGCAGACCTCCTTAGAAGCTAAGGAGGGCAGGGCCTGATTAGAAGTGTGATGGAGGACCTCTGAACATCAGGTGACACAGTGGGACGCTGTCAAAGGCCAAACTGTTTTAAATTAAATTCTTCAGCCAAATAACCTATAGTATGAATCTCCACACTAGATTCATGAAAAATTGGTGGTGGTCGATGGGACCAACAGCACAAACTGGTTGCCTCACTTCAGCTAGGCTGCCCCAGGGCAGAACTAACTTATAACCAGTGCATGAGGGGAATGAATAATGCCATGTGTAGCATCTTTGAATGTCAACGCTCTAAAACATTACATTGTTTTTTCTTTTCTTTTTTTATAAATTTCATTGATTATTCTAGATCAGTATTTCACCCTCACGCTATTGAGAATTAAATCAAATCTAAAAAATATAATTTATTCTTCAAGAAATACTTTTTTATACTCTCATTGTTCATAAGATTAGGAGGTGGAGAAAATACCCCAAAATTGGGAGAGGATTGTATGGGACTAAAGATATTAAGAACAGCTGACCCAAATTTTCTTTGTTTTTGACAATTTACAATTTTTAAACATGTCTAATAACAATACATTCTAGGTAACAAAAGGGAATTCATTAATTGGAGTCAATATAATCTGTAGAAATACTGCTTGATTAATAAATAATTGACAGAACAATAAACTGAAAGAATAAAAGAGGAAAATAATCCATGTGTATCCCGCTCAAAGCAACAAAAACAGAAAAATGCACTAGGACCACGTTCATATCCATTTGTCCACTTTGAGCTGCAAAAAAGACTTATCATACATTAAAGAACTTAGGAAGCGCTTGAACTGACATTTTTCCTCTTATCACATCTTCAGAGCTCCAACAAATGCCCCACATTCATGAGATAATCTGATTAAGCAAAGAGCAGTACAAATGTGCTCCTCGACGCTACTACGTGTATCCATTATGTTTGTGTTCAATTATAGTAGTAACCCAATACCACCACATCAACGTCACCAGCCAGACGCCCGTTTGACAGAGTGGCACAGCGTGAGCCATAAAGAGGAAACTATGTCTATATAATGTGTAAAAGGTTTGGTTGAATGTTTCTCATGTTAAAGCATTTGGAAACAGGGGGATGAGTGAACTGATTCAATTAAGATGTGGCGATGAATGGAACCTCTAGGCAAAGGTCTGAGCTCAGAGTGTAAATATATATAATAAATATCTAAATGTGTGGGCAATTTCAAAATGGAGAAAAAAGGAAATAATATCCTTGTTAAAACAGACATTACAACATCGAAACTCAAAGTCTTAAGAGTGATGTGTATGAAAAAGCACCTTTGAGCAATGTTGTAGAGGAAAAACATCAATGATAATCTAGAACTTGAAAAATACATTTTCTATTAACTGCAAAATGTATCTTGTTTCAGATCAAGTTAGTGTTTGAGCTATTACAGGATGTCAGAAATGATCCAACAGTCTATGATAAACAATGTATTGTAAATGAACTCGAAATGAGCCTTCAAGTTAATTTACAATTTATTGTTAATCACTTTGACTGTGTTCCCCAGGGTGTCCTTTGGGGGGGGGGTGTGTCCTCTGGTGAGGGCCGTCCGGTCATCTCTGTTTGCAAATTACAGTATGTTGTCGTGTTCAGTCACACGGGAAGAGCTCAGAGTAGAGCCGCTGCTTCTCCACATCGAGAGGAACCAGCTGAGGTGGCTTGGGCATCTGTTCTGGATGACCCAAGACGAGGAGGAGGGAGAAGGGACTATAGTCTCTCGGCTGGCCTGGGAATGCCTTGGGTCCCCCTGGGTCCCCCCGGATGAGCTGAAGGAAATGTGTGGGGGAAATCTGGGCGTCTCTGCTCAGACTACTGCCCCGTGAGGCGGAAGAAAATTGATGAATGGATGTAAATGAACTATTCCAATTGTCAAAACAAATTGCTGGGAAAATGATTTCTTTCCATTACCATTAGGCAGCGTCACAGGAGGACTTCTCTTGACCAGTGCAGAAGGTGAGGACCCTCATTAGAAAAAGCTGTTTAAAAGCCATTAACATCCAGTGTTTGTGCTCTTAAAAACCACTTTCCATCTGTTGTGATAGCTTATACCAACCACGGCACCATCTCTGCTTTTCCCCAAACCACTGACTCCATCCACTGCCCAACACTTCTACAAGTATCACCTTCTGGGAAGAGCTTCATAGGCCAAACACATTCATTATAAAAACATGGTTTATTTATGTTGGCTAGACACATACAGTACTAAATCATTCTCTTTAAATGAAATATACTTCCCCCAGTGTTCTACCAGCAACAATGAGACAAACTAAAACAATTGACACCAGGGACAAATAAAAGTGAACGATGAAGGAAAATCCTCTTCTCAAAGAGGACTCGTATGTTACAACAAATGTAAGTGAATGCACCAGAAACGTGGTCAGCTGAGGTCTTTCCGTCCATTGATGGTGTGTAAATGCGTGAGTAAATGCTTGGTCCGTGTGTGTGTGTTTTTCTTTGTGTGTATTTAGTCCGACTCTGCCTCAGAGCTTGGGGGTGTGGTCGCAGCTTCCTCCTCTTCCTCTTCAGATTCCTGCAAAGTTATTGAAATTAATAAACAATCTTTAAACTTCAGGATGAAACTATGAATGGGTTTAAGCTTTTGGATGAATCTTGTGGACAATCATTTTTTCCCTTTAGTCTATACTTTGTTGAAACCGAACCAAGAGGAAATATTTATCTGTTTTACAATTATTTCAGATTTGAGATAAAAAATATATATGTAAGTAATCCTGACATCTACAATGAGATCCCTTCCCATCAAGATCATGCACAAGAATAGCAGTTATTGTACGGATTAATTATTCTCTCAACATCATATTACTTAAGCTATGAATCCATAACTTCATTTTTCAAATTAGACGAGCGTTGGCCCTTTTTAGAACGTGATTGCGATGCAAGAAGTGATGCAAATGCTTTGCACTCACTATGTCCATGTAAAAAAAAAAATATATATATATCTCCGTAAATACATAAAGCTGATAAATGAATGGGAAAAACATAATTTGGGTGTATGCCAGTGGTTAGAGCTAGGCTGCACTTTGTTAGATTGAAGAAAGTCTGGTTCCTTTAAAAGTACCTAACCAGTGCACAATGGTCCAGTAGTCTCATAAATCAGTTCACTTCGTTGGAAACAGATCTGTGACTTAGAATCCCACTGACCAAAAAGTGAATGCATGGACAACTTAAGCTAACAAAGGCTTGGCATATACCATGTGATTTTTCACCAATTTTAATAATAATGAGTCACTAAGCAATTAAAATTGTCCTCTGTCCACTTATGGTTATAAGCTGCGATTACCTGCTCATGACTGCGGATGGCGTAATCACAGAGATTTATGTTGGGGGCCTCCCTAGATATGTTATTCTTATTGTTGAAAAACTGAGATAAAACGTCTATAGACGTCAATTTTTTTTTTGCAGGGGTAGAAACTTGCTTTTTTTACTGAAAGGTAAGAGACAGAGCTTTCATTTGATATGTTTCATACTTCAACCAAGGGCTCACATTTATATGAGGTTTGGAAAAACACTAAAAAATATTCAATATCTCTGGCAGTATGAGGAATGCTTCTTTACATATGGCTGGCAGTGAATGAGTTAATGAAATTGTAAAAACAATGGTAAAACAAACCATTACTTTTAATATCGGCCATCAAAATAGTTACTGTGTTAAGCGCTTCTGAAATTGTGTCAAAGCAACACTACTATACCGCTGCAGTAAGGACAGCGCTGAGGGCCAGCAGCAGGACCTTTCTCAAGAACAAATGACATTTTAAGGTGTTTAACTCTATAAAATGGCAAAGTGTGTGGCTGGTGTAACAGAACACTGATTGTACCTTCTTTCTCTTGGATTTGGATTTGGATTTGCTTTTGTGGTCAGAGTCTGACGAACTCTCACTGGTCTCAATAAATTCTTTGCTTTTGAAACTGTCATTTCCTGATCGCTCTCGCTCCTTTTCGCCTCCACCAGGCTTTCTCTTTCGCTCCTCTTTTTTAGCAGCCTTCTTCTTTTCTCTGAAAAAGCAGTATTAAAGAGACCGTGAGTCTTGCAGTGTGCTACATAACAACATATTTGGTCATTAAGTAGTTTACTTCTTGGGACTGGAACTTGCTGCTGCTCCTCCACCACTCTCCTTGTACTCTTTCTTTGCTTTGTCATACTGTCTCTTTGCTTCTCCAGCTTTAGTCTCCCATTCCTTACCCGGAAAAAACAAAGAATAGTTCAGTTAAACTTGCAGCAGAAAAGCCTCAAGCCAAAGTAGTTACCTCTTTGTCCTCTTTGCCCAACTGTCTCCACATCTCTCCAGCCTTCTTAGAGATCTCCGTTATGGAGATGCCTGGGTTCTCAGACTTGATGCGCTCTCGACTGGAGTTGAGCCACAGCATGTAGGCGCTCATTGGCCTCTTTGGTCCGCCAGGGTCTTTCTTCTTCTTCTACTCAACACAAGAAACACCTTTGTTTATCATCTAAATATATTAAAAAGTATGATAAACCATTTCTCACCTCTTTGCGGGGTTTCCTCTCTTTCTTCTCCTTCACCACCTTCTTTTCCTTCTTTTTTTCTTTCTTCTTTGCACTGTCATCGTCACTTCCGCTGCCCTCCTCGCTACTCTCACTGGCGGAGGCCTTGCTGTCGTACCTGTTAAAAACCTTTGATTAACAGAGTCTCATAAACCAATCAGAGGAAAATTCTTACGCCCTTACTCTTCTGCAATGTCATCATCTTCTTCTCCAGGGTTGAATGACTCATCTAAAAATAAGTTTATTATAGTCACTGTGCTTAAAGTTGTCCGAAAATTAAAATTGTTGCAAAGGGTGTGAAGTAAATGAATATATACATGAAGATTCAAAAATACATGTGCCTTCATCAAAAATAGTGAGGCAAAGTAACATTTTTTTTATTGATGTTTTACATATATTCAAGCAAGTCAAAGCAGCTTCACTCACCACTTTCTTCATCAGAATCGTCGCTGCCCTCGCCCTCCTCTCTGATCTTTCCTTCAGCCTTCATCCTCTCCAGGTAGGCATCATGCTGGTCTTCATCAGAGTCACTGTACTCATCTTTGTTGCCCTTCATGCCCTGGAAAAGGATTGAACGTTTCAAACAAACTCAAATCACATGAAGAGATGCTGCAACCCGAGGCCCAGGAAGTTTCCAAAAGTTTGTAATAAAGCAAACCTCAATAAGCAAGACCAAAGTTCCCCAAAAGCCAAAATTACCAAATTATATAAACTTAACACACTATTTTTCCACTTTCTGTAATCAAAAACGAGAAAATTGATTTTGGGTAATATTGGATAGGATGTACATATAAACAACCTTTTATGAACAGATTACTATATCCAACATACTCAATTACTTGTCAAATACCAATGTCATGCCACACCCAGAATTGCGTCTCAAACACACACACGTAAAAAATTGATATGAAAAGGAAGAAGTTCACTTGATTACCAAAGGTTACTATTGTAGCAGAGGATGACTCAAGATGATTCACTAATTACTTTGCAGCGACAACTGTAAATTGTGCATTAATGGTCAAATCGTTTTCTTTTTAGCAGTCGCCACAACAACAACCAATGGGTTGTTAAAGCACACCAAAAGCCTTGAGGTCACACATTAGTCAGCAGAAGAAATCTTTGTTAGTTATCACTCAAAGACAAATCCTCAGACAAGGCCCTGCACCACAGGATCACTCCATAACTAAGCACTCAGCTGCAGGCCATGCAATGCAAAGATCACACCAAACACCAATCAAGAGTATATTCTTTCAAATCCATTATGAAACCTGAGGGCATACCAACCTTCTTCTACATAAATACAAGGACAAACACATAAGAAAAGGGCAATAAATATCAAAACATCAAATGGATTATGTTTGATGAAAATTGTCAATCATAATTTAGAAACGGCTTGAACTGAAAAAAGTACCTCTTTGAATCCTCTGTTCTTGATGTTAAGCTTCTTAGCATTGACAAAGTCAAACAACTTGCCATACTCCTCTCTAAAACAGACATGAAAGATGTCATTAACACAATGCACAGAATGAGGAGACTCCACTCTTCGACAATCTCCTAAAGGAAGATAAGTGCACTCTGACCTCTCAATGCTGCTGAACGTGTACTGGTTCCCTTGTTTGGTCTCAATCTCAAAATCAAAGGATCGTGTTGTGGTGGTTCCTCTGGCAAAGTTGACACATGAAATCTCTTCAAAACGCAGGTGTACAGGAGGCTTGTGCACATAGATGAACCCGCGCTCCAAAGGATACAGAAGGCCAGAGGACGCTTTGTAGGAGCAGGTGATGCACTGAGCACCAGAATGTCTAGAGAAGAAACAAGGCCAACAAAATGAATGGTTGTTGTCTATGGCTGAAATCGGACATGTGTATTCTAAAAAAGATAATTAGTACCCCTGGAAATTTCCTGGAACAGTGATTTTCCTGTTGACCAGAGCCTTCATCACTCTGCTGACCATTTCATAGAGTGAACCAGACATGTTCTTACTAAGTTTGCCTTCAAATTTACGCTCAACATCCTCCCTGTAAAACAAAGGACACCAAAGAACATAAGAATCCAAACACGTCAACAATATTCACTAAAAGCATATACTACTGCTCCCTCTAGTGGAGGAATGCACATACAGATTTATAGTGGCACAAAGAAACACAATGTTTTAGCTAGGATTTGTTCTTTTAAACATACTCGCTCATGTTGAGTGTGAGGCTGAGGTCTTCTTCTTTTGAAAACAGTAGAATAAGAAAATGGTACCGAGTCTGACCCTGTTTAATTGGAGGATCCAGGCTGATCTAAAACAACATAACAATATTTAACAACAAAAAAACAGTTTAACATACAAACAAAAATACAGGACGCTTCCTGCTTACCACAAAGAACATCTGCCTCTGGTCTTTGTGAGGCAGCAGAAAAAGCCTGAGGACAGTTGTGTAAGGAATCTTGTAATCAAAGGTCTTTCCGTGCAGGTGAAGAAATGTAGGATAAATGCGAATATCATATCTGAGAAAGGACAATTTGTAACAATTTGAAATACATTTATAATATAAAAACAAAGGTATATTTCATAGTAGAGTTCTTTGTGAACATAAGTCACATGGGGTAAGAGGTATTGATTTGAGTGGGTGCAAAAACTAGTATTATAGTTCATTACCTTCCTCTGGGTGTAAGGCACTGAAGCTCTTTGAAGATACACACAGCATCTCCAGTGGCTTGAATCACATCAGCCTTAGACAAAACATTCTGTGCAAAAGCCTAAGACAGACACACACTGATCAAGTTAACGTTCATAAAAGCAGTAGCTGCAGGAGTTTCAAAACCAAACTTGGCCTCACCTCCACTGGGTCCTGTCGCTCATCAGACTGACTCGGTGGAACGTAGAATCGCACCTCCATCAAAGACACTTCTGCCTCATCGGTTTGGTGGAACTCAAGAGTGACTTCATTTTTCCCAGTGGCACATTGGGAAACATTGGACAGTGGGATCTCGAACGCTGGGTTATCGTTAATGTCAAAAGACAACAGCGGCCCTAAGAGAGTACACAGAAAGGCAATAGTGTGTTCACAGTAAAGTGTCAATTAAAGTATCTGGACTTTTAAAGGTTATAACTCAAAAATTCAAATTAGTATAATAGATTGGAAAAAGATTTCAAACGCATACACATCGAAGAGATAGTGTGGATATAATCAAAAGGAAAGATTGAGAAATATATTTTTGCCAACATTTTAAACAACAAAATCAGCCTCTGATTTGACCATTCTACTGTGACGACAGTTGCATAGAAACAAAAAAAAGTCCTCAGTCTGAAAAAGCAGCAGATGAAATCCCACAAGATTAACATGGTTAACACAACATAAGTAAATCACTTGATTAAAAAAAGAATCGTTAAAAAATAATAATATATATATATATATATATATAAAATGATCCTTGATAAATGTGTAACGGACGTGAGGTTTCCGTCCATTTTTCTCTAACAATTAAACTTGAGAAAAAAAATAATTCTGGTTTCACATTTAATTGGTTGACTATATGAAAGTATCATATAGTCAACTCATATAGTTCTACTTTGTGTAAAAAAAATAGAATCTCTTCATCAAATGTGGACATAGGAAACTCATCTAATGTATAAAATGTTTTAGCAACTTTTGGCTTTTTGTCACACTTTTGTGCCCTTTAGTGTGAACAAGTCCATATATATCTATTGTTTTCATAAGATTTATACAAACAATAGTTAAAGGTTGGCGAAAAAATTACATGTCACATATTTACCTGAAAACTTTGCTGTTCCCCAGTTCCATCCCTTCACAGACATGTCCTTCTCTACAAGCTCCACTTTATAATTTGCCTTGAAAAATTCTGAAATCTTTTCAAAGTCCTGATGAGAATTGGAAAATGGGCATTAAAATTACAAGTCACAATGTGGCAAATAAAATAGGTGGCAGTGTAATTCGGTAATCTTGGAAAGGGTAGAGAGAATGTTAATTAAGAGACGCAATTATAACCCCGCCTGCTCCTGGACCCTCCTGGGAAGTCCGGAGGTGCATGCAATCTATCCGCTGCTGTCTGTTCTCCACCACTGACAATCAGCATGTTTATTTATCCTGCAGGGCCGCTTACAAGTGTGCACAAGAGCCCAGCGACAAACACACGGGCAGTCACACACACACACTGCTACGAGCACACGCACATGTGGAAGTGATTGTGTTGTTGGAGTTAGACGAGTACAAGGCTCTGTGGGAAGCAGAGTTTATGCACCTGGATATCTGCCTGTCCATGAGGTTATTAAACCCAATTAAAGCTCAGAAAGACCCATGCCTACACAGTAAAGCATGGCTTTATGTTACCTTGGATTCACACCGTGTTTATAGGGCCAATCATATGAGCAGATGTGTTAATGTATAAAAATCGGGCTCATTCAAAGTGTGAATGTGTCCCTGTTCATTCATCAGGCCTGCTGTGCTCAGTTTATCCCTGCTCATTACAATTTTGGCAGAATTGTTGTAACGTAGCTCAGTTAATCATAATAAACAAAGACCCCCCACTGAGCCCTGCGAGACATGCCTGTCTTTCTTCAGCGTCTCCTACTGGCCTCTAACATTTTATAGGGCTGATTATGCTACTTAATAAGGCTGGTCGTAACCTGACACACATACATTTACAGAAGAAAGCACAACAGTATAACAGATTTAAAATATATTTAACAATATTGATGTTTGTGATGATTTTGTCAGCATAGTAGCCTGTATGCAAGTACCGTAATGTAAAGGTAGCTAAAATACAAAAGCAGTGGTCAAATATTGACCCAATTGCACTTGCAGACCAGATTCAACATGTACACTGACTGAAATGTGTCAGCAGCAGAGTTGGACAAGATGAAAAGTCTCCTTTTCAAGGACGCGTGCAGGACAAAATGTGAATCAAATTGTCTGCTGTGTTTGGCTCTCCTGCAGCTCTGCCTTCTGCCAGGTCGCCATTACAGATAATAAACAATGACATCAGAGACTTTTCTCTGAGACAAAGGATCCATCTTTTAAAATATGTTGATGAGCCCCAGGAGAGACGGACTAAAAGTATATGCCCACTCCTACAAGTGAACACAAAGCAACAAAGAAGATTTTAACAAAAAACCTTCCATCCATCTTTGCACCAAATTGTTTCTGTGAAATGATATAAACACTGACCTGAAGTCAATGATTACACTGTTTATATAACGCACATGCTAGCACCAGTTTCCCTCATTAATCCCATTAGGAGCTTCAGGGAGAAGACCTCATTCACATACTTTATTGGAAACACATAGGGGTGGCCTATTCGTAAGATGGTAGCGTTTTTCTGTTAAAATGTCAGACAGGGGATGGAAACTGTAATCAGCAGTCGCCTGCTTGTGTTGCCTTTCTCAGCCATAAACAAAGAGCAGAACAAGTCAAGAGTGTTTCTGAGATGTTGCACTGCTTCCATGCATTTTCATAAGGGAACAATTATTTTAAAGATTGAATAAGCAAGGATTCACAATTACACATTTTGAAACTATATATAATGGAATAGAAATGTTGTGATAAACAATATTATATAAATTTTAAATCATAATCATTTCTTGTTTTTTTTTTTTAAACATGGAAATAGCAACAGCAGATAAGCAGTAGGAATACGAGTGGTTGATAACAGAAGAAATAAACATGATAACATTGAGTTCCAAACTATATTGCACCATTGATACAAATGTGATAATTCAGGGTTGGATCAATCAAATAATTTTGAATTTGATAAATTGTAACTGCTTTGCATGCACACTCCAAAACTGGTTTATACTTAGTGGGGAAATTTTAAGGCTCTAACAAAATGTAAATGTTCCATCTCAATGAAAAAAATTCGGGAAATGTACAATCCATAACATTTTCTCTAGTGGCTTCATTCCAGCTTTGTCTGTATACAATTCAGAGAAACTTAGATTAAACAAAAGATAAAATCAATCAAAAGAATAATTGCTGGATTAATTCATGTTGTGAACGATAAAAGTATGATGTTTACTGTCCGATTGTGGGTCACACTCACCGTGTCCTTGAAACCGTCATATTTGTAAACCTGTCCAGAGCTGATGCTCAGTTTGATTCCGTGGCCCAAACACACTCGTCTCCACTGGGCCTGGCTTAAGTCTGACGCAGTGATACTGTCCACTCTCCCGGTCTTATTGGTTTTATAAACCACATTCTGTTTGCTGAATCGCAGACGCCCATCATTCTGCAAATATACACATTTTTAATTTCCAGTTTAATACATTTGAAATTCCACATTCCCAAAAATGGGTAGCTTAACTATTTATGAAAATGACTGATTCAATGACAATACTTTAAAATTAAGAAATAAACTAAAACACTCGTTTATGACTACTATAACAGTTATTACAAAAAGTCAGACATTGTAAATAGTCAGACAAAATACGAACCCAGGAGCCTTTGACTTCATGATAAATGTCACTAAACTCCAGAGTGTCTCCCATTCTTTCTTGAGTTCATCAGCCTGATCGGAGAAGGTTCTGTAACCAAATATCAACATTAATAACAGCTATGCACCCATCATCGCTATCTATGTAGAAGAATAGGATGAAAAGTAATTCACTTTTTTAAAACTACTTCTAGTACTGTACTTGTAATTGATTCATTTTAAAGAATAAAGTGTGGTACAGTATATTCTGCTCACAAACTTGTACACCTGCCTTGAATGGACAGAACTCACAGTTTTAGAGTCTGATTTGATGCAACCAGTATTTTTCCTACATCCTTTTTAAAATTAGAACAGAAAATTGACTTCAGCAAAACGTTTCAGTAGGCCGATTCTGAGCAGTGAGTGTGGCTAATCAAAGACAGTCGTTACAGTAATGCTAGCGTTTCTTTGTTGACAAGTTTGCGATGAACGCAATGGTTAAAGTCACTGGCAGCACGCGCGTCTTGGTGCCACCAGGCCGACGGCAGAATGAAAGAAAGCGGATATTAGGATTTATGAACAGGACAGACTCATTACAAAGACGGGCTGTCAGCAACAGTGCATGTATGTGTTCATTAGTAGAGTATATTCAGTTTGAACAGGTAGAAATGATAAAGTACAAACTTGTGCGGCTGTCGAATCGCAGTGGTTTCTCCTGGTTCCCGCGTGTAGCATCTGCGGCTAGCGTGACGTCACCGGACACAAACAGTACAATCACTTCCGGTCCTGCAATGTATTTTTTTTTTTTTTTTTTTTGCCATATCGCTCTCATAAAAATATGTTTACAGTGTATACAGTGTGCTGTATCCAAATACCGTAGATGGTATTGCAAAAAAAAAAAAAATGCGCCTTATAATTTGCTTAATGTTAATGCAATACCTTGCATTCACTACTAGATGTCGCACTAGATGTCCACAGCGCTCCTTTCATGGGTGCTATGGTCAGGGCGCGCTGTAATAAAGATCTATATAATACATTTTAATAGGGTTGTATGGCTGTAATGAACGCAGTTAAGAGGTGCATGTCTACATGCACTTCAACATGCTTCACTGGAACTGGAACAACTGAAAATTACTTTATATGAGTGAGTGATGGCTAAATCCTATAGAAATGCTGCAGATGTCATAAGCATTAAATACGTTTACTATTAAATATGATTTGCCCCCCAATGATAAAAGAGTGCTATGACAAAAAAAACATCGATCAAATGGAACCGAGAAATTGAGTCTATGAGATAAAAGTCTTCTACCTTTTGAATCCTCTAGGTTCGACAACCTGTTAATGTTGACAGCATGTATCATGATAAAGGCCAAAGAGGTGCTTCCGCGCGCCTCTCCTGGAGTAGGTTATGCTTAAAATCCTTACGGGTATAGCCGAACTTAATGTATTTGAATAGTTAAAAACTACAGACAAATGTTTTTATTTTATTTTTTTAAACAAGCATACACATTTTTTGCACTCAAAACAAGGGCCAATTCCCTATTTTTTTATAACCAACATAACTGTAGGTGAAAGTTGGAGCTGTCTTTGAGAAGCCAGCACAAAGTTCAAGAACTAGTGTTTGTATAGGATTATGCTCAGGTCTGAGGCCTTATCTGACCTGCACCCGCATGACATCATTAAAGTGGACCCCGGGACAGAGATCAAACAGCCGCTGTCAAATGGCTTCAGGAAGATGACGATTATCCCGTGACAGAAATGAGTTGGGACAAGTCTGACGAGTCCCGTACGAGGTTCACCCGAGTCAAGTGGAGCTGATGCGTCAACCCGGTGATTCACCCGCGTAAAGGGGTGAGGAGGAGGATAACGAGACTGGGAGACACGGGAGAGGGGAGATCCAGGGGGAGGAGGAGGCTACATAAACCTCCACCGTCATCAACCAGTCACAGACCTGCGCGCGACTTGGCCACAACTTTCTATTGAAGACAGAGCAGCACCTGATGATGGCCCCAGACCGGACTCAGAATTAGAGCCGAGTTAAAACTCCAAGTCAACAAAAGCGGATTCACACGTCTAAGAGCGCACTGAGGAGAGATAACAGGATTTTGAAAAATGAAAAGCTTTTTCAGAGGTAAGTGCTCACAATTTATCAATGGGGCAGACTTCAATCCACAACAACGAAAATCACACTTGGTTATTTTTGTGTTTTTGGTGTTATCATATCAGGTTTATATTGTTATAATTTACTTTACAATAATTTAACTACACAAGTAGAAAATATAAAACAGTGAAGGGAACTTGTCAACATAATTGTCATAATTTATTTTATTTTATTTTTTGACTTCATTTTATAAGCAGAAATATTTACATTTATTTTTGATGATTGGTGAACAGCCTGTTGCGCGGTGGTACTAAACAGAAGATAAAGTAAAAAGAATTGGGGTGGAGGGTCAGAGGCAGCTAAAGCCCCTGTCTCGTTAGCTGTCATTGATATGAGAAAGTACATGATTCATGTTAGTCAGGGTGTGAGAGCAGGACACACACACACACTGTTTCCTCTGAGGCGGCTGCTGCTCCTTGTCCAACAAACAGCAGAGAAATGTGCAACATTTGAAATGAAGGCAAAGTGCCAAAAATGCATGTTCTATTATGCTTTTTTGTTGTTTTTTTGTTTTTTTACATTGCTTTAAATTACATTACTGAGTCATAAATGTTGAAAGAACGGTTGTCAGCTACACATGTCAATATTTAATTTTTGTGCAAGAACAATACAATATTGTACAGAGACATGTGAAGCAGTTAAATTAATGTTTTCTCTCACATTCCCTCATCTTTGCTTTCATAATTCGTTATTTGTTATTCTTTGTTATTATCTCTGGAACTGAAAACTCCTCTAAAAGTTTTGTTGGCAACTGCTAATGGTAAATTTGATTCTAACGGTTCTCGAAATGTGTTATTTTTAATCAATTGCTGCCATCCTGTCCAGACACTTGCATGGGAACAGAGCGAGGTTTGGACTATCTCACAAGAGCCATGTTATTGCAGTGAGGCTTGAATTAGTGTCGGTGTGTTTCGCATAAAACCGTTAGTGTGTGTTGGAACCTAACAGACAGGGCGAAAACAAAAGGACGGCAAGAGGAGAAACTTTCTCATTTTTTTTTCATTTCCGCTGGGCCAGTGTTAATTTTTCACGGTGCGCGGTATATAGACAACAAGAGAACGAGAGCGAAGCATGGAGACTGATAAAAAAGTAAATAAGAGGGGGAGCGGAGCCGGCGGTGGAGGGGTTAATGCAATGCAGATTCCCGTTTGACAGAAGTTAGCAGCACCCAGAGGGAAACACACAGAAAAGGGGGGAATGATATAAAATGAGTCGGTCACGCTTTGAACAGTTGCACATGCTGTTTACATTTTTCCCAAATTAACATGGCCCCTTGCTTCAGAAAAGTCTCCCCCTGCACCCTCTGTCCTCCAGCTCCTTATCCTTCTTTCGTTCATTCATCCATCTCCACCATCCACTTCTCCTGCCGGGAGCAAAGGAAAGCCATTTAGTCAAAGCAGTTAATGTGTGATAATATATAACATTGCACAAAGGAAAATCAACTTTGATGAGCTTTCACCCTTGTCATAAAAGTGTTCCCTCACCATTACTTAAAGATGTATATTGATGTAGTTTTGAGCATTCAGATTTGCACAAAAAACTTTTCTTTTCTTTATGCTGTGCTGCAGTCATTAATAATTGACAAAAAGAGTAGGACTTAAAAAAGTTCTAAAATGAGAGAAAAGCCAGAAAAACATCATACTATCTGTATAGTTTGTATGCACTTTTTAACAAATATATATCCCTGTTGTGAAAACATAAGAAGACACGTTGAAGATGAAACACATACATAGATGAAAAGGAAAAGGAAAAGCCACTTGGTAGTTTCTCTCAGTGGTGAAGAAGAGAAGTTCATTCGGCGTTTCTCACATGGTCTATAAAGAAATAATAAAATGAAATCCTGTACTCTGGATAAAGTGTGGTTCACCTAAAATAACTAAAATACTTTTCAACTGAAAAGTGCAACAAGATGAACGATGAATCCTATTTGTTCATGAAAATATTGAAATCATTTAGTCAATTCTTTTCCCCACATGCCCTTCCCAATCTGTACTTGCATATTTGTGAGGCCGTAAACACAACACATTTGGTGATTTACGTCGCCTATTGAACTGACTATTCTCAGCAGACACAGTTCACTTTTTATACGTTTGATTAACAAGCATTTAGCAAAAACAGGTGTTAGCAAAGGCCTATACAAAGCTATACTTCTGGACTTTTTATCTATATAAAAAGTAACAATCATTTTATTGGTGCTAATAAAGATCAGATTTGGTCCATTGACCCAAGAAAGATAAAAGTACGTCATAAAAAGTTGCTCCAAGTGTAAATATGGTATAAATTATGTCAAATCCAGTCAGAACAAAGTGATGTAAGCAAGATATCTATAAACACATTGAATCTATTTGATGAAATGCATTCAAAAGTTTAAAAATAATGTCTCGCCGCACTTGACCTGCCCGGCCGAGTTAAGGACCCCGGTTCAGACATGAAAAAGATACGTTTTTGGACAAGGATGTGGAGGGAGTCTGGATTTAAATAAAGAAAAGATGAAGTTGGGGAAAGCGTGTTGCCAATTAGAGAAAGGAAGAGAGGAGGAACGGTAATTAGGGAGTGAAAGGAAGGGGACTTAAGAATCAAAGTTTGATCTTTCCAGAGGATCTAAGCAGCGGGGGCAGCGCGATGAAGCGACAAGAAATTGAAACCAAACATGGTGATGATAAAAGGCAGATACTGCATGAAGGGGGGATGCATGGATTCAAAAAGAATGGGGAGAGTAAGGGTAACATACTGGAAAGGTGAAGACAGCAGGGCCGAGTTGCTGAGTTTACAACAAAAGTTTTACTAATGGGATAAAGATGTAAAAGTTAAATGTCTAACTTTCTTATCGTTGGGTTTTTGTGATAACATTTGGGAACTGAAAATTATGAGAACTATTGTAAGAGAACATGTCTTCATGAGGATAATCTGTAAAGCTGGGGAACCTTATTTTTCAAACTAAATAAAGATTAAATTAAACTGTGGTATTGAATGTAATCCATCTAAATTGTTCTTCACTCTCAAACTCTCACTAGTTTTCATGGCCCCTGTCACATTTTTAGAGCAGCTTTCTCAGACAGAAAATAGACCATCCTCACTCAACCGATCAGTTCTCAGCCCAAAGTGCCAAATAGTGACTCACAAGACAAAAGGGGAAAACAGATTTTGAAAAATGACAGAATTTTCTGATGAGTTCACATAAATGTACTTTTACAAGACTTTATCTGTTGGTACAAACAGCCGACAAAATGCATTATCTATTAAACAAACCTGCCCATATTTTAACTAGGGATTGTCTTCATTCAAATTTGCTTGATGTGTGTGTGTGTATGTGTGTTGTGAGTGTGTGTGTGTGTGTGTGTGTTGTGAGTGTGTGTGTGTGTGTGTGTGTAGTGGGTATGTGTGTGTATATGTGTGTTGTGGGTACGTGTGTGTATATGTGTGTTGTGGGTACGTGTGTGTATGTGTGTTGTGGGTGTGTGTGCGCAGAGAGATGCATGTGTGATTGACGACTAACTGCAAATAAGTCGGAGTTTAGCTGTACACATCTTCCGTTGAAGACCACTCATTTCTGACAGAATGAAGCGGGAGTTGTTCTACAAGACGTGTTTTACCAACAGTTATTTCTAAAAATGACTTGAATTTGGCACTGATGAGTCTCATCTGTCAGTGGAGCCTCACAATCAGCCTCCAGGCTCCTTGTCTGTTTGCAGTAACTGACAGTAAACACGCAATGGATGAAAGGGAAGCTCTATAATATTGAGAACATTTACAAACAAAAAGGGTCACAAATAATGTACGGAAAATTCTTCTGCTCCAACATAATCAATATAATTTTGGAAATGATAAATTCAAAACGCAAGAGCTCTGATAAGTACTATCCTGGTGCACACTGGGGTAGTCTTGCACAGTTATTCCACGGTGGTGTTACTGCAAATGGCAAACAAACTGAATCTGAATACAATCTGAATGGATAAAACTAAAAGTCTGGTGTGCTGGTCACTGTGTGCTTTTGATTTTATCTTGTTAATCTTTTATTTATACGTGAATTTATTCATGTCAAGCTTTATAAAAAGTCATTTTGTAAAGTGCTGTTTATCCCTATTTTTGTCTCAAAGTTGAATGAGCCATGTTTTAAGTGAAGCCAAAGGGGGAGCTTGCACACGTTCATCAGGACCACGACTGTAATGAGATCGTTTTTATTGAGTCTGGACGGAAATAAAACAAACGTTATAAAGTGAATCAGGAGAGTTCTGGGATGAATTAAACGCAGCTTTTTTCTGATGCGTCGACTTTAAACCTGTCTCTAATATCACTCAACAGACCGCGCTAGTTGTTAGTCAGCCATAAAGAGCCATAATAACAGGTATGAGACAGGGCAGTAAATTAGGTGCTGTCACAAAGCCTTTTCATGTGGTGCATTTAAGGACTTCTGTGTAATGACAAAACCAAAATGCGATGATAGAAAAAAAACTGTTAATATAGAATAAAACACGCATAACTATGTTTTAAACTCGAAACATGTTATAAATATTATTATAAATCTTTTTTGGAGTCTCCTAACATGCTCATTCCTTTGTGTGTTGATTGTCCTGGACTGGCTTTTCTTTTGCAGAATACAGTGTTCCCACAACACCAACATTTGTTTAAACAGGGAGTTGAAAAAAGACAAACTGGTCTTGGATGTTGTTAATGTTGGAAACGGGAAAATTCAGAACAGTTGGTGTGAAAATGTCAACAAAGAGATTACAATATCAAGTGTGAGCGAAAACTGTTTTCAATTAATTTTCTGTAATATTGCATTGTGAATAGATTCAGATACAGATCCATTTTATTTACCATTTGCAGTAAAATCACATTGGAATACTTGTGCAAAAGTACAGTGTGCACCAGACAAATATACAAAATAGAACAAGCTAAAAAGTACAAGAAACCATTGTCACTGTGAAATCAATCAACAAAAACAGTTTCAATACAAGTGCAAGAAACTG